CCCACTTTTTAATTGGGTTATTTGTCTTTTTCTTGTAGAGGTGTTGCAGTTTCCTGTATATTCTAGAAATGAGTCCCTTGTCTGATATGTAATTCTGCAGTTGAGTCTTTAAGTCATAAAGCATTCAGTCATACCAGGGATCCTGGGGGTGGGACCTGGGACAGCATCAGCAATGGGTGCTACCACTCTGGAATAGTCCTCACTTGTAGATCCTCGTGCTTTATGGCTTATTTCCAGGGCTCTGGTCCCCAAAGTCCTCACTTATGTGGTTTCCGAACTGTCTGTCATGTCGAGAAAGGTCAGGTTATAAGTCTTTCCATAGTATTTGCAGCCTGTGCTTTCCTCCCGCAGCTCCTGCCCATCCCCGACTCACTGCCCATCTCTCCAGACGACGGGCAGCACGCTGACATCTACAAACTGCGGATCCGTGTTCGTGGGAACCTGGAGTGGGCCCCACCCCGGCCTCAGATCATTTTTAACATTCATCCAGCTCCAACGTGAGTGTCAGTGGCTCTGCTTTGATTTATGGATAGATCCTCTTGTCAGGGCTGTCTGTCTCCTCGCTCCCTCGTCTGCCTGTCATACACTTCGGTTCCTTCTAAAAAGTAGAGGGAGATTATCCATCCTGTCCTCTCACCTCTTTCATTGCTTCCCAGAGCTAACCAGAGTGTTGTCCTTTTATTAGTGGCATTACCAACTTGTTGTCTTCCTGCTAATAGTTTTCTGAGCTTAAACTGTTTTGTTTTCTCACATCTCTGTACAAGATGGATGTTTGTTTTTTTTTCTCTCCAATTCTCTCTGCTATTTCTCATTCCTGTGGTAAAAAAAAAAAAAAAATTATTGTTGTAATGACATAAAGAGCACAACATTGGCCAATTCAGCATTTTTCATGTGCATAATTTAATGGGGCCAATTACGTCTACCATGTTGTATAAACAGTCACCAGTATCCATTGCTAAATTTCTCATCCTTATAAACAAAATCTCCCTGCTGCCTTCTTCCCGTCCCTGGTAAGCACTATTAAACTCTGTTCTCTATATCATTGCCCATTCTAGATGTTCTCATACCTTACACTTATGCAGAAAGTATGGTTCATTACTGGGGAGAGTCCCTGTTCAGACCTAAATTCTACCTTTATATCCTCTGTTTGAATTGATTCTCCCAATAAAATTTGGTAAGGTGGAGGGTTAGAGAAAAAGAGGAAGACCCCAGCGAGATGGATTGGCAAAGTGGAAGCATCAATGGGCTCAAGTGTGGCAACCATTGTGAGGTTGGCCCAGGACTGGGCAGTGGTTCGTTCTGTTGTGTATAGGGTCACTATGAGTTGGACCGACTCGATGGCACCTAACAACAACAACAACCTTTAAAAAAAAAAGTGAACTTCCCTCTTTTCCCATTTTTTAACAAGACCCTTATGTTTGCATCCTTACCTTGACAACCCATGAGTCTTATGCATCTGGTATCTACTAATCTCTTCTCCTTCCTCTTTCCTCAGAAGGAAAATTGCTGTGGCCAAACAGAATTACCGCTGTGCAGGATGTGGCATCCGGACTGATCCTGGTGATTGTCCACACTTGGGAGGGAGAGGGTTGTTCAGAGCTATAATAAGAAGAGGTGATAGGGCAGAATTGAGGAAAGAGAGAGAAGGGGTTGGATGGGAAGGGACAAGGCTAGGTGAGAGCCGTGGCAGTCAGAGAGATATTATTTCTGGGAGCACATTATCGGAATTGTATACTGGAGAAAATTGGGTGGATGTAGCCAGGATTTTAGAGACTGGATCCTGCCAGTGGACTCCAGGGTGGGACTCAGGAGCCACAAGCCCCACTATGAGGATTTCTACCCGCTCTGGGGCTTTCAGAGGTGGATGGGGCCCATTGGCCATCCCTTCTTGTTCTTCCAAGTGGAATAGCAGTGCTACCTCACCAACTTGTAGGTGGGAAGGTGACATCTGGCCTTGGCCCTCCTTTTTTCCAGATTATATCAAGCGGCTGCGATACTGTGAGTACCTGGGCAAGTACTTCTGTCAGTGCTGCCATGAGAATGCCCAGACGATCATCCCCAGCAGGGTTCTGCGAAAGTGGGACTTCAGCAAGTACTATGTCAGCAATTTCTCAAAGGACCTGCTCATTAAGATCTGGAACGATCCTCTATTCAATGTGCAGGACATCAACAGTGCCCTCTATAGGAAGGTTAAGCTGCTCAATCAAATTCGGGTAAGACCCTTGACAAGACTACATCACCCCCTCTCTCTGTTCATACTAGCTTTCCCAAGTTCACCACACTTCTCTTTAGCACTGTAACCATCACATCCTTAATGCTCTCTCTTTGTACTTTCTTAATCTCTTCCTGTTTCCCTGAGGTCTTGCTAGTTAGAGCCTCAACCCTGGCAAAAGCAACTGTGGAGCCATAGACAGTGAGTACTTGATGGTGCCAGCAGGATTTCTCCTTTCACTGATTGGAGAACAGGGTGTAAGGTGGAGAATTAGAATTCTGGAGCTATCATCGCAGCCTCTCCCAGCCTTTTGTGTGGTTTGGGCAGACAGACCAACCAATTAGTCTACTTTCCCTGGATATCACTTTGGAGCAAGTTGTTGAGTTAGACGGATAATAGACAGTCCAGCAGCATGCAAAACTTCCAGACCCCCAAGGTTTAAAGGCATTGGTCTTTCTTACAGTCCTGTTGTTGTTAGTTGCCGTTGAATTGGTTCTGACTCATAGAGACCCCATGTGTGCAGAATAGAACTGTGTTATTGGGTTTTCAGGCCATAACCTTTTGGAAGCAGATTGCCAGGCTCATGGCAGAGGTGCCTCTGGGTTGGTGTGAACTGCCAACTTTTGGGTAATAGTTCCAGCTCTGAACCATTTTTGCCACCCAGGGACTCCTTTAAAAGTCCTAACAATAATTTCTCCCCCAATTCTCTCCAACCTCCCCCCCCCCCCCCCAATGTCTTTCTCTTCAGTTGCTGCGAGTCCAGCTGTATCACATGAAGAACATGTTCAAGACATGTCGACTGGCCAAAGAGTAAGTGTAATGTGGAGGTCAGAGGCCTCTGACTGAGTTAGTGCTTCTAAGAGGGACATGTCCCAGCACTGGCCTTAAGTATATGAAAAGGCGAGAGTAATGAGAAGACACAGCCGTAAGTAGTGTGGATCCTCTCTGGAGGGGAACTCTGCTTATTCTATCCAGGAGAGGGCAGGTGCACTGGGTTTTGTAAGCTGTCAAGGATGTAAAAGTCACTTCTGCTTTCTAGTTACCTGGTAGGGTGAAAAAGGCTAGTGTGACCAGAGATGTCAGGTTGGCCTAAGGCTCCCAGACTGCCCCCAGTGTTACCCACCCTCGTTGCTCTGCCTGGAACCCTCTTCCTCCTGCTGCTGTTTGACAGGGATCTTGTACTCTGCTGTGCCAGTATTCATTCCCTGCCCACACTCACTCCCCCTAATTCTTTGTAGGCTTCTGGATTCCTTTGACACAGTTCCAGGCCATCTGACAGAGGATCTTCACCTGTACTCATTGAGTGACCTGACTGTAACCAGGAAGGGGGAGCTGGGGCCTCGGCTTGCTGAGCTCACCAAGGCAGGGGCTGCCCACGTAGAGCGATGCATGGTGGGACATTTTCATGTGAATGGGCTCTTGCTTGGGGAGATGGAAATGTGGGGTGGTCTCAGGGTTCTTGCCATTTGACTCCAAGAAGTTGAAATGACCAGTTAACACTGTGAGAGAAACTGAACAGGATTACTGTTTACTGGGTTGCTGAATAACGAAATCATGTAGATCTAGGGAACCCAGAATTGGGAAAGGATTTGGTCTTGGCGTTTCCCCTGGGTAGCTCAGGTTGAACTGACAGGTCGTCACTAAGGTACTGTCACCATGTGGTAGGAGAAGTCCTGAATTAGAATTGGAAGAAGGACTGGCTTCATCATTTTTAGTCACTGACTAAATGAAACATTTTGCCTTCTCTGAGGTAGCCTCAAAAAGTTTTTTTCTCTTTTTGCCTCTAAAATGAAGATAATACCTACTGTCCTTGCCTGTCAGTATTTTTGGAGATTGAGGAAATTATTTATAGGACAGCATTTTGTAAAATTTAAGTATTCCAAAAACGTGAGTTATTGTTTGTTCTTCATATATTCAATCTGCCAGAGATTTAAAAAATTCTTCTTTTAGAACATTCCTCTTTAGAATATGCCCAGTTGGTATTTCTGTGGCAGTCTCAGAGCCAGGGTTTTAAAAAGGGTATCTGTAGAGAATCGTGTTTGTCTGCGGGAACTGGAAAGATTTCACAATGACCTGACCTAAGGCAGGTGAAACATCTTTATCGTTCACATTTTATCTTAATTTGATTTTCACATAAATTATCTTAATTGGCTGTGGTTCCTATTTCAAAATAAAATCATGACTCAGACCGGAATACTGACTTTAGGAATCCATTCATGACACCTTCCCCTCCTCTCTTCGTTGAGAGCCACACCAGTGATAAAGGTTTCTCCAACTTGGACCTTTCTTGTCTCCACCTTTAAGCTTTCTAACACCGCTCAGTCCTGTTCATAATTTGGCATTTATGCTTCTAGGTTCAGCCCAGGCTCCTTCCCTGCAGGCGATAGAACCCCTTAGCGCACACTCAGTTTTTACTGATATTATTTCCCTCCCCTTCCCTGTGTTTGCCCTTTTGTGATGGCCAATTCCTGCCCCTCACTTTGCTGCCTCTTTCCTCCCCAGCTCTGCCAAGCCAAAGGCTTCATCTGTGAATTCTGTCAGAATGAGGATGACATCATTTTTCCTTTTGAGCTCCATAAGTGCCGGACCTGTGAAGGTGAGGGTTGAGGCCAAACACCACCGAACCCAAAGCGAATTGATTTACTTTCACCCTCGTCCCCTTCCCCACTGTGGGTAAAAGTTTGGTCTACATTAGCAACTCCTGGGTTTTACCACAGGCATGTGGAGCCATGGTGGTGAGAACAGGCTATGGATAATACAATTTGTTTTCCTTTCTCTCTCACCTTCCTAATCTCAATAGAATGTAAAGCATGTTACCATAAAGCTTGCTTCAAGTCTGGAAGCTGTCCCCGGTGTGAGCGGTTACAAGCACGTCGGGAGTTGTTGGCCAAGCAGAGCCTGGAATCCTACCTGTCAGACTATGAGGAGGAACCCACTGAAGCCTTGGTCCTAGAAGCCACCATCCTGGAGACCACCTGAAGAAAACACATGCCACTCTCCACATAGAGACTAGAGTCACATATAATGCGGAACTGAGCCACCCTTATTTTAAGGACTTTCTCCACTTGGGGCTTTTGTGTTTTTTTTTGATATTGTTATTTTTTAATAACTTGCCTGACAACCATGAGTAGTCGTCTTCTCTGGCCTTTGTTAGGTTGTTGGGGTCCAGTCTGTTGTGACAGATACTTTTGTAGGCACAAGGTTTTTCCATCAGAACTGACATGTAGGTCCCTAAATGAAGCTTTTAGTGCCTCTGTCAGGGAATGGACAGCCAGATCCAACTCTCCTGACATCCATGACCTTTTCCACTGGGACCAGATCTGGTTTCAGCTGACCTCAAGTATCATTTCCAGTTTTATTTCCTTTTAATGTGGGAGCTTCTGAGTCAGGCCTTTCTCAACCAATTCACTTCTCCTTTGCTGCTGAAATGGGGATGGGATTTTTCTATCCCAAATCCTGGAATAGGGTCAGACTGTACCCTGAGGAGAAATGACAGAGAACAGCGCTATATTGTGAGCATTCTGTCCAGCTTATTGATGTCTTTTGGAGCCCTACAAATAGCATCAGTACTATCCTGGAACTGTCAGAGGCCTCAGGAGAGCAGTCAGGACTGAGTTGCCTCAAGCTTTCTTTACCTACCCTGGTGGGCTTGGTGTAGAGGACAGAATCTATGCTTAGGCCAGCCCCATTTGTATAGCCTAAACAACAGGCATAAATGAAGCTACAACTCTGTTGCTTAAAATTCATTTATTCACTCAGAGGACCTGTTGACCCCCTTTTAGGTATATGATTCCCTTTTAGTCAACCTAACTCTTTGGTGCAGGAATGATCCTTCAAGTTCAGGTAAGTCCCTGGTGCCATCCTAAGTTGAGGACAGAAACCCTGTGTACCATCTTCTTAGTGAGTCCCTTACTATTCTGTCCTCTATTGGATGGTCATTGTGGTTCTTGGTAAAAGTAATGGTCCAATTCCGTTCTCTTTCCCCTTCCTGCAACAGAACGGGGACTCTCCCAGGTGGTTGCTCTCTTGCCTTAGTTTCTTTTATCAAAGTTGCTAGGGAGTAGGGGATGGCAGGTGAGGGAGGGTGGGAATGCCTTCCTGCTTTTAGTGTTGTTAGAGAACTTGTGGATGTGCGTGTGGATGTTCCTGTGTTCTTGGCATAACAAGAGCCTTTTTATACCAATTATGCACTAAACTTTATCTAGCCTGTGACAGTCGTATATTCATTCAGCCTTTTCATGTTACTAATTTCAAGTGTGTTTGGTGGGGAACCTTTGTGGATGGGACCTGGTATATATCTGTGGGGTATTTTAGTTGCTTAAGCTTGTGACCTCTAGGTAAAACACTGGTCAGGGTTGCTGCTTCGAGGAGCGGCAGCTCTGTTAACTAAAGCCCTTAGCAGTTTTGTTTTAGAATTGGCTTCTTCCTGTATATCTGTCTTCCCATAGTTAGTTGCTGGTGGAAAACACTTGGTTTGTGCACTTCACCAGGAAGCTGAACAGAAAGTTGCACTTGGTTTGTGGAAGCTGATGAGTGACTGAGCTGGAGCTACCAGGAGTCTCACAAGGAAGGAGAAGGGACATTATGGCAATGGCCACAGCTGAGGCTCCCCCAGGATGAGGCAGCAGGTTAGAATTGGCTCCTTGTGTGGTTCCTTTGCCTCACACTTGGAATCTGAAGACTACCTCAGACTGAAAGGCCCAGAGGCTATAAAAACCAAGACCTTCAACCCAGCCCAGTCTTGGAAGGGCTGACTGGAAACCCTCTTGCCCTTCAGGGAACTTTGGGAATGGGCCCACAAAACTCAAGTTTTACAGGTTCAAGTGTGTAAAAAACAATGAGCTCTACTTTCAGTTTTGGTTTCAATGACAAATCCAGCTCCTTACTCCAAGTCACTACACTGGAGTAGAGAATGCTCTCTTGTTGTCCTGCCTGTTTCTTAATAGCATAGATAGGATAGAAGTTAGAAAATGCTGACATAGCTTTGGAAGCTGAGCTAAGCTGTCTTACATGGTCCTGGTTTTTCACCTACTTTTTTCCAACTTCCCAACTCTATGCCCTTAGACTGTCTGTCTGTTTTGTGACCCTGATATCATGCTGTCCTCACTGTCCAAATACCCATTTATTTATTTATTTGATCCTGGAGGGGAGAGGGCAAGGATGGGATGTTTTGAAAGCACTTTGCCGTATCAGTATCTGAAAATCCCCTGCTGTGTGGGGAGAAGCTTCTGGAGGCACTGAAGAGAGTTCCTTCTGAATGAAATAGGAGGGAGGAAGTGTTCTCTGCAAATAAAGGGAAAAAAAACCAACAACACTTGCTTACAAGGTAGAGACAAGATTCACAGCAGAAGAGTGGGAGGCAAATATTTTCCACTTAAATGAGGCTACTATGGGCTTTCTCTGCCAAACTTTCCAGCTGTTGTTGAATTAACATAATAGGAGCAAGAATCTAAATAAAGATGTTCTTTTTGTGTGTAACTCATGTATCGAACTGCATTTCTACTTGCTGTCATTCTTATGTAGCCTAACAGTTCATTGCCATCTTTAATAAAAGAAGGAAATGAAATTCTGCCTTTTGTTTGCTTGCCTTGACTATCAGGAAATGCTATTGAGTATCTACTGTAACCTAGGCCTGTCAGTGAAGGTGCAGCTTTCTATGCTCTAATGTCAAGGAAACTGGATTATAAGAGTCAGCAAAAAGGGGTTGAAGCGGTTTGTTCCTGACTTGTTAGGTGGCCTTAAGTGAATCATTTCATCTCTTAAGACTTCTGTTTCTTCATAAATGACACAGTTAGACTATGTGATACATAGTGTTACCCAGCACACAGAAAATGCCCATTACCCATTTCCTGGGGGTAGCTATTCCTTATTGTTGTTTTTAAGTGGGTTCTGACCCATAGTGACCCTGCATAGGGTTTTCGAGGAGTGGCTGGTGAGCTTGAACTGCTAGCCTTGCGGTTCAAATGTCTTTGCAGTTCAGCGCATTAACCCGCAGCATCATACCAGGACTCCAGCTGTTGCTTAAGGTGAGGTAAATCTGCCTCTCCACAACATTGGAGTTGTCTCAGATGCTTCTTTCAGCACCCACTTCTGCACATCTGACCTGCCTCTCTCTCATTTTTCTGGCTAACTGAAACACTAGCTTCATTCTGTAACTTTCTGAACTTTTCCCCTTAAATATCCTTTGTTCCCTCCAACCAATATGTTTAAAACCAACAATAGTTAGTATATTTTCCCCAAGAATGTTAAAGAATAATGATGAACCTCTGAAATATCTCGTAACATGGATGAACGCATCTTCATATAATATTTATCCTTTTGTGATTAATTCAATCACAAAAGGACAAATATTGTGTGAGAACTCTACTATAGTAAATCAAGAAAATGTTTCCACACAGAAAGAAACAGTCTTTGCTATGGTTACCAGGAATGTGAAAGGGAGGGAGGAGAAATCACTAGAGTTGTTGTTGTTGTTGTTGTTGTGAAGTGCCATTGAGTCGACCCTGTACAGGGTTTCCGAGGAGCAGCTGCTGAGCTTGAACTGCTGACCTTGCAGTTCAAACGGCTTTGCAGTCTGGCGCATTAACCCACAAGACAAGTATTAACTTGGGTGAAGGGAAAAGCAATACACAATAAGGGGGGGACAACAGCACAACATGACCAAAGTAAAGGAAGATACTAGGAGATAACGAGTAAAAATAACAGTAAATACTATTGCACATGTTGTTAAGTGCTGCCGAGTCAGTTCCAACTCCTAGCAAACCATAAGATTTCCGAGGAGCAGCTGGTGGGTTTGAACTGCCTACCTTGTGCTTCAAACTGACATTGCAATCCAGTGCTTATTCTACAGTGCTATACCACATCTCCACTGTTG